TCGAGACGAATCGGCTCATCGAGCTGGCGCGGCAGCACGCGGACGTGGGACTGGAATTCCCGAAACTACGTGGACCACTTTGCCTGGTCACTTACCACGACGCCAGCTGGGCCAATGTTGACGAGCCACCTGAAGGTGTCATAGCTACGCTACTCACCAAGATCGTGGGCAGCAAGGACAAGAATATCAAGATCCGCTCGCAGGCCGGCTACGCGACGTTCATCGCCGAGGCCAAGCTGTTGTGCGGCGACAAGGCGCGAGCGGGAATCGTTGATTGGCGATCAGGCACCATCGAGAGAGTTTGCAGATCTATTCTGGCAGCTGAGACGATGTCAGCAGTAGACGCATTAGGCTGTGCTCAGATCACACGCTGTGTTTCCGCTTCGCTTGAGATACCGGATGCTCATCTGGAAGATATTCCCCCGAGTTTGCTGCCGCTTGCTCAGGTCACAGATTGCGCTACCTTGTACGATACGATGCACAAAGACGGTTATCCCAAGCTCTCGTCAGAGCGGCGCCTTTTGCTAGACCTAGTAGCCCTCAAGGAGTCATTAGAAGAGGAAAGAAGTAACGAATTCGTTGCCGACGATCAGCGTAGCCAGCTGCCTCTCTTTTGGGTTCCGACCGGCCAGCAGCTCGGGGATCAGTTCACTCAGCGATCTGACAGCAGTGCCATCGGGGCAGTGCTGCGAGACACACGCCTCGCATTGCAGCGTCAAGAGCCAACCGACCAGGCCCGAGAGCACGAGGCGCATATGAACAGTGCCGGCTCGCTTCTCAAGCGCGCTATCCGCTTGGTTCCAGGATAGAGCGCAGCAGGCGTTCGGTTTCAGCTTAGTTGGTTGACGCGAGACTTGACACGTCCAAGCGAGCTAAGACCAGAGACGCACATATCATAATAATTTTGCACGAGTGTAAATCTATGAAAGAGCGTGTTCTACCGCTGCTGGCGGAAAACCGGGGGGGTCACTACCGGTTCGAAAACCTCCCCCCCTCCCCCCCCTCTCCGGAAAACCGGGGCGGGTCAGGGGGGGGCCACTACCGGTTCGAACCCTTCCCCCCCCCAGCTCATCATGAAAAGGGGGTGGGGTCACTACCGGTTCGATCCCCCCCCCTCGAGAACCGGGGGGGGGTCACTGCCGGTTCGAACCCCCTCCCCCCTCGAAAACCGAGGGGGGGTGCGGACAGTGGTGGGGACGGTGGGGACAGTGGTGAGGGGACAGCGGGACAGTGGTGGGGACAGTGGGACAGTGGTGGGGACTGTAGTGGTGGGGACAGGGGTGAGGACAATGGTGGGAATGGTGGTGGAGACAGTGGTGTGGGGACGGGGGGAGGTGGAAACAGTGGGACAGTGGAGGGTACAGTGGTGGTGGGGACAGTGGTGAAGGCGGTGGCGAGGACAGCGGTGGGACAATGGGACAGAGGTACAGTGGGGACAGTGGTGGGGACAGCGGGGACAGTGGTGGGAACAGTGGGACAGCGCAGTTGGACAGCGGAGGAGTCAGTGGGACAGTGGGGGCAGTGGGGATAGTCGGGCAGTGGTTGGGTGCGGACAGTGGGGGTGCGGACAGTGGCAGTGGTGGGGACGGTGGTGGTAGGGGCAGTGGTGAGGCGACAGCGGGACAGTGGTGGGGACAGTGGGACACTGGTGGGGACTGTAGTGGTGGGGACAGTGGTAAGGACAATGGTGGGAACAGTGGGGACAGTGGACAGTGGTGGGGACGGCGGTGGTGGGGACAGTGGTGTGGGGACGGGGAGGTGGAAACAGTGGGACAGTGGAGGGCACAGTGGTGGTGGGGACAGTGAAGAAGGCGGTGGCGAGGACGGCGGTGGGACAATGGGACAGAGGTACAGAGGGGAAGGTGGCGGGGACAGTGGGGACAGTGGTGGGAACAGTGGGACAGCTCAGTGGGACAGCGGAGGAGTCAGTGGGACAGTGGGGACAGTGGGGATAGTCGGGCAGTGGTTGGGGCCGCGGAGAAAGTGGGGAGAGTGGAGCGTGGGAACAGTGGTGGGGACAGTGGGGACAGTGCGACAGTGGTGGGAGCACTGGTGGGGACAGTAGGGACGGTAGTGGAACCAGCGGGGACGGTGGTGGTGAGGACAGTGGTGCTGGGAACAACAGTGGGGGATGTGGCGCGGACGGTGGTAGTGACCGGGAGTCGTTTGCTGGCGGTGAGTGGGGGGGGTGGGGGGGCGGGGTTCGAACCGGTAGTGACCCCCCCTCCGGTTTTGGGTTCGAAACGGTAGTGACTCCCCCCGGCTTTCGAGCGAGGGGGAGGGGGGGGGGGGGAGGGGTTTGGGAGGGGGGTTTTGCCGGGGGAAGGGGGGGGGCGGTTCCAGCAGGGGGGGGGATTTTCGAAGGGGGGGGGGACCCCCGGGTTCCGGAGGAAGAGGGGGGCAATTTTCCACAGTAAAGCGGCGGTGGATCACGCTCTCTCAAATATATAGTGTCCGTGCTGATATGTAAACAGAGTAGCATAGCATGCCGGTAAGCAAGCAGAGTGTGCGAATATTCAGACGAGAAGTAATATGTCTTTTCTTATCCATTTGGGTTCCAAGGCCCTTGAGCTTGGGCGTATCGGTAGGAGCCATCGCGGGTACCGCTAAGCAACCATGTTTCGCCATCCATTGCGGATGTTATTGATATCATGGCGGTATCTTTGTTGACATACAACCTCGCGGTTATTATTGCATTAAGACCCCGCTTTGCAGTTTAGGGTCTACAAGGATGGTGGTTATGATGATGCTGATGTTGATGATGCTGCTGATGATGCTGATGATGCAGCTGCTCATGATGATGATCATGATACTGATGTCGCTGGTGATGAGGATGATGGCGAGGATGATGATGCTACTGATGATGATGCTTACGATGATGATTATTATGATGCTGATGGTGGTGATGATGATGACGACGGCGAAAGTGAGGGTGAGGGTGATGATGATGAGGAGGAGGTCGAGGATGAGGATGATGATGTTGATTACGATGATGACGCTGCTACTGATGCTGATGGTGCTGACGATGATTGAGATGATGCTGCTTGAGACGATGATGCTGCTGATGCTGCTGCTGATGATGATGACGATGGCGACGACGATGATACTGCTGATGATGGCTGATGATGATGATGCTGATGATGATACTGCTGATGCTGATACTGATGATGGTGATGCTGCAACGTTGATGATGATGCTTATGTTGACGATGATGACGATGCTGATGATGACGAGGATGATGATGATGGTGGTGGTGATGATGATGCCCATGATGCTGATGATGCTGCTGCTGATGACGATGATGCTGCGGATGATGATGATGATGATGATGATGATGATGATGATGATGATGATGATGATGATGATGATGATGATGATGATGATGATGATGACGCTGATTATGATGCTGATGATGACGAGGAGGAGGAATAACAGGAGGAGGAGGAGGAGGAGGAGGAGGAGGAGCAGAAGGAGGAGGAGCAGGAGGAGGAGGAGGAGGAGGAGGAGGAAAAGGAGGAGGAGGACGAGTAGCACATGCGGGGGAGAACGGGCCAGAACGGGGTGGGATTACCGTATTCGCATATATTGGCTGCCTCCCTCTTGTGAAACGGATATTGTTTTTCCTTCCGCTGTTGCTGCACGTTCCACGCCCTCACCTGATCCCCGCATCAGTTTGGGCTGAAACCTCATTCTTGAGGGGTCCCTCTTGAAGAGCTGGGCTCCACTTCAGTCTTGAGGGCCGCCTCGTGCAGAACCGCCTGGCATGCGATAGCACATGGAAACCCACAAGACATGTCCATACATGCAGCATACAGCCTCTCCTGATATCGAGATATCACACGGCAGTGCCCCGCTGTTCTCTCTCACGCTCGCACGGACAGCTCCGCAGAGTGACTGGAGGTCCGTGGCCCACGCTCCATCGCCTTGCCGCCGTTTGAAAAAAAAACACTCGCGCCTTTTGCCGTGATCTCTGAGCAAGATGCACCGGATGCACTCGCGGCCTGCTGTCCGAAGGGCGCGCTAGCTTCGCAGTTTCGTGGCACAGCTTGCCCAGCCGACGTGTCGGCGGGCCAGCTCTGCATAAGTAAGGGGCAGTTTCAGAAAAGCCTTCACCTCCGAGAGACCGAGAAGTTGACATTTCTTTCTCGGCGGAAGTCGGCGGACGACGGCGTATGTACAAGTTGACCCTCCGAGGTTTGCAACTTTGTTTTGACTAAACGGTTTCCTGAATCGGCAACGTGGGCGAAGGCGCGTCGTGCACAGCCCTGGTAAGGCTTGGTGTTGTGCACAGGCAGCCCCTGGGAGTAGCCACGCCTGGCCTCAGCGGGTCCTCCTTCCGGCCCCGCCTCTGGCGGCGCCAGAGGTGCTACCTTCGCGCCCCAGGTCTGGGGTGCCGAGACCGCCCCGGAATACGCGGGTGGTGGGGTGTGTGGGGGTGGGGTGCTATGGCCAGGCGGGGCTGCCCATCCGGGGGCCGACTTCGCGCAGCCCTGAGCCCTACCGTGCAGCCCTCCTGGTCCGCCACCTTGCGGCGCCGAGGAAGGGCACCTGTGGCTTCGTGGTTCGCCTGTCGCTGGTGATCTTCTTCCGCCCTCGATGTGTCTGCTTCTGCCATGGTGTGTGCTTCACAGGGGGTGCGTGGACGATGTGTTTCGGTAATGGGTTGAAGAGAGTACGGGGCAGCATCGATGAAGCCCTGGTTCCTTCCCCCGCAGGCCCACCCATGCGTTCCCCCGCACGCCCGGCCCGCCTTGAGCATCCAGCGTCTCATGGACGAGGGCGCGATGCATGGGGTCGGGTCCTCGGGGACTTCAGATCCGGGGCGGGCCTTTTGTGCAAACGGGATCCTCGGTGGTTGAGGGCGGGCGTGGAGGCGTTTCAGTAGCTGGGGCTCGGCGAGCCTGCCAGAGCTGTTTAGGCTCAAGCTCGACAGGCTTCCTAGCAGTCGCGCGTCCCTTCCGCTGGGAACCTCCTTGCGCTTTCGCTCTCCTCCCGCGGCCATGTCTGGCGTCACTTGCGACGACGAGTGCCTGAAGAAGTACGAGCAGATCAAGATGAAGAAGGATTTGCGCTACATCATCTACACGATGAGCGAAGATCAGAAAACAATCGTAGTCGACTCGGAAGGGGACAAGGAGAAGACATTCGCGGATTTCAAAGATGCGTTGCCAAAGGAAGAACCGAGGTACGCCGTTGTGGATTTCCCCTATAAGTCCGAGGACGGCAGGGATCAGTCGAAGCTGACCTTCGTGTTCTGGTCACCCGACACCTGCGGTGTGAAGAAAAAGATGTTGTACGCGAGTTCCAAGGACGCCATCAAGAAGAAGCTCACGGGCATCATGAAGGAGATGCAGTGCAACGACGAGGGGGACCTTGATGAAGACAATTTCACAAAGAAGATGCTCGAGAAGTAAGCAGGTTTCCCGACGCGGGAGAAGCCGTGATGTGGGCAAAGGATCACGGCCCCTTTTTGAGGGCAGCTGGTACACTTGGGCCATCGTCGTTATCATCGACTCAATTCGTGTAAGGCCGTGCAGATTGGCCTGCCGGCCCTACGTGCTCCAGCAGCGATGCTGGGAAGGTGTCCAGGGACGGAGTGGGGGCCTGGGGCGAATATCTAGACAGCAGGGAGTGCGCGTGGTAGCCTACGTGGACAGTTTTCCTGCTTGCAGCCTTGCTACCCGCGTTCAGTAATCTTTCCGCCAGAGCCCGAGACTACAGCAAGGTAGATCACAAAGACAGTTGCCACCCGCGTTAGAAAAAGCACGAGTGCCGTTTTAACTCCCACATGGCCCGTGGTTGCACCAATGGGGGCCAGGAGTGTGTCCACCATACTATGTTATGTCCACCCACCACTTAGTGGTAAATAGCGGCCCAAACACAGTGCATATATTTGTTCAAAACATGTCACCTGGAGAACTAGCCAGACAATCATACACTAGACGTTGCCTGGTGGCGTTTCTGCGAAGCCCCATGGGACAGGGCACAAATACCTTAGTGTAATGACGCGCGGTTCCCAATCAGGACAGATCGCCCAGACAGATGCCGTACGCCGTACGCACTGGCACCAAAACAGCTTGAGCTCGACGAGAGTCTAGAGAAGCTTGGCGTCGCCGAGCCGATGAACCCCTCGGTGGCCAGAGCCGCGGCCCACGAGCCGAAATCACGAATCGACAGCGGACCGCCGCTGCGGAGCGACGGTTCTACCTGAGCGCCAGAAGAACATGGGGTCGACTGCGCCAACATTGGCGCGTAAGCTTCCCGCGAAAGGTGGCGCGAAAGCGCCCTCGTTTTAAATGTGACGTGTCGCGCCGGTGGCCCACGCAAGCCGCGTCGTAAGGTCGCTACGCCATCTCGAGTTACACCCGCTTCTGATTGTCGCTCACCTCGTGTTCTTTGCGGCTGCACGAAACCCAGACCCCGGGCGTCATGATTTTTTCATGACGTCGACCCCCAGAGGTCTGGACCCCTTCCCCGGGACCGTTTCTCATCCTGAGTTGTTTTTTGACGGCCCCGAGGCACAGTAAGGCCGAAAATAGGGAACATCGGGGGCAACGATAGGGGGGATACGCATGGGGGGGTGCATCGACCCCAAATCGCCCATTGATCGCCGGTAGGGGGCCCGATAGCCCCACCCCGCTCAGGAACGTGTGGATCCGCTATCGGTGGCCCACCGCCGATCTGTCGCCGATGCATCGCCGATTCCAGGACGACGCACCGCTCCCCCCTTTGCCAGTCCCCCCCCCCCGCCCCAATCGCTGCATCTCAGGACAACTTCCCGTCGCGATTTCTCCACGGCTAGGGGAACAAAAAGTGACATAAACATAAAAGCTCGGAGGTCCGCGCGGATTTCTCGGATCGGCGCTGGGGCCCCCCAGCGGCGCCTCCGGCGCCGCCCCTGGCGCGCTCCGCGCGCCAGGGAGGGTGGTCCAGCGCCGATCCGAAAAATCCGCGCGGACCTCGAGTTTTTATGTTTATGTCACTTTTTGTCCCCCTAGGGGAGGGATACACATTGTCCATGTCTAATTCTTCGAGGTTCTTGGATTTTTTTGGGGGCCAAGATCCTTTCATTTCTGATTGTTCTATCCTGGGCCTCTTCCTGGCCAATGGGGGGCTGGAACAAGTAGAAACGAGCACGGTTAGAAATGAGCACGATTAGAAATGAACAACGTGTACAGCCAACCCGCATAGCAAGGATGAGCAGTTTTCCAAGGCTGCCCCCCGCATCCTTCCCCTTCGGCCCGTCCTTGGCCGCCTTCGCTGGCCGTGCCCCGCTCGCCAAGTGTCGGCATGGCCTTCCAGGGCCCTTGCATCCTTGTCGTGCGTCCTTCTGATACGGGTGGGGATAAGGGGTTGCGAAATCTGCTGCGTTCGTCCCCGCCCTCGGGTGCCCACCTCGGCCCGTTGGCGACTCGGGCGCCGGGAAAGCCAGCTACAAGAGCCGATTCGCTCACACCCAGCCAGCTACAAGAGCCGACCTGGCCGCGGCAGCTTCGGAGCCGTTTTCATGGTCGGCTCAGAGCACCCACGCCATCCCGCCGCGGTGCCCGCGCCAGCCGCCCGGTGCGCTCCAGCCCTGCCGCTGCCGTGCGCCTCCGAGCCGGCCCGTCGCGAGGCGAGGGCCATGGAGCGCCCACGGCGGCCGCGGTTGGTGCTGCACTTCGACGTCAACGGCACCGTCTTCGTGGCAGGCCCAGCGTCGGGCGTCGGAGTGGCACAGGCCCATGTCGGCAACATCCATCTGGCGGGCGCCGCCTGGGGCTCCCTGGCGGGCGGGGAACGGGAGTGGTCCGAGGCGACGCTCGCAGGGAAGCTCACCAGCAGGTGCCCCGAGGAGGGGCAGGTCAGCTGCTACACGAGCATCTCGAGGAGGCGGTGGCGCACCGGCCCCGCCACCAGTTCAAGGCCGCGCTGGGGCGCTTCGTTGAGTCCCCAGATGGCGCTGTGGTGGGAGACGCGTTCGGCCGCATCATGGGGGCCATGGAGTGCGACGGCGTTCGGGCGCCGCCGTTCGCGAGGACGGACGGTGGTACCGCTGCGTGCTCCCCTCGTTCTGGCACTTGCTGTCGGGCCTGCAGGAGGGAGGGCCGGGACTTGGCCGTCGTCCTCCGGACGTACGGGGCCGACGGCCCCAACGTGTCCGAGGCGATCGGCGCCTTCACAGACGGGAGGCGCCCGATGTTCCCTGAAGGCTGCCCGGCGGCGCGGCCCGCAGAGCGGCCATGCGCAGCCCTCGGGCGCGCGGGTGATGGACTGCGCTTGGCTTTCGAGGTCGACGGGCAGGAGGACGCCAAGGGCTCGCGGAGCAGGCGCAGCAGGCCGTGCCCCTAAGTAGGGCTCAGGTGGCCCGAGCTTCGAGTAGGCGCGGAGGAGTCAGGACTCGGTTCGCAGCGACGTGCCAGGACGCTTTCCTTGGCCTGAGCCGCCTGGGGGGCACCCTGACCATGCGAGAAGATGACGAGTTCTGGACGGCCGGCGGCTTCAGCACCAGCTGCGGCCAGCGGGTCCTGGGTGCCTAGCGGGCCTGTCGCGCAGGATGTCCACCACATCCTGCTCGATGATCATATCCGCTCCTGGACCAGCAGCTCGATCGTCGACCCACGCTTCATGCGGCTCGGCGGCGGGGAGCACGGTTCGCTCGTGGGGGGCCCCTGCCCCCAAGAGGCGGCCGAGAGGCTGGGCTGCATCGTGCCGGTGGCGCCGGAGCGCATTATCCTGGAGCCGGACGGCTTCGTCAGGGCGGTGATCGGGCACGCGAACCGTGCACATCCGCCCATCTAAGCCCAGCCCGACCTGGGCCCAGAATGGGCCTGTCAAGGCTCGGTGCAGGTGCATATTTGGCGTCGCCCTAAGCGAGGGAGTGCGAGGGGCGCTGAGCCGCGGCCGACCTCGGAGGCTGAGCAGTGCCAGGGCCCACGGCCGGCGGGCCACCCTTGGTGACGGTGGCGACGGAGCGCAGCGTCCCGGAGCCAGGCTGCTTTGAAGGGGCGGTGATCGGGAACGCCAGCTACCCACAAGGCCATCCTTCGGGTGGTCAGGTGGTTGGCGGAGGGGCGGGTGCGGATGTGGGTTTGGGATTGGTGTCGGGTCGCATTCGCGATCTATCTATCATCTCTACCTGTGGGTCTCCCGATCGATCGGTCTCACTATCTTCTCACCACCAATCGCTCCAACGATCCAAAGTATCAATCAGCATTACTCTCTCTCTATATATCTATATGTATTGATATTGCTCTCACCACCGATCTCTTCATTTCAGCACTATACATGCCCAGCCGGCGCGTGGGTCCCAGAGGCCGACCAGTTTCCTAAGGACGGTTTTGCGTCCCGAGTATTTTTGGCGTTCCCGAGGCCCGGCGAGGGCCCCCAGGAGGCCGAAAACGGCCAAAATCCTGCCGCTCTAATTTTTTTGGAGTGTCAGATCTCTGGGTGCATATCTTACCATGGGTCTATTGGACTCACGTTCGATGATCTGTGCTCCTCGGCTATGCGGCCCCCGGCACTCCGCCGGGCGCGCCTGCGAGGCCCGGTTCCGGCGCGTCCACGCCGCGTGCGTGACCACCTTCGTGCACCCGTACCTGCCGCGCCGGCTGCCTGCCCTGCTGGCTGCGGCGGGGCTGCCCCTCGGCAGGGTGGCGTGGCGAGGGGGGGCGGCATGTGGCGGCCTCGCATTGGCGACGGCGGGGGCGGCGACGACCCCTGAGATCCTGGCGTCCCAATCTTTCCGAGCAGGGCGTTTTCGTCTTTTTCTGGGCCCCGGGACCCTCGCAGATCGATCCGGCTTTGAAAGTGACAGAGAAAGATAGTGTCCAGGGCTCCAGGTGTGATTTTTCCCTACCTAGGCTCTGCCGAGAAGGGTTCTTACTTCGTAGCTTAAAGGGCCGGGCAGTGGGGCACGCCCCGGGCGGTTCCCCCATAATCCGCCCCGCGGTTCCCCCAGCTACGTTCCCTTAGCTTAGCTTAGCTTAGCTTATCTCATGTTATCTTAGCCTAGCTTAACTTTAGCTTAGCTTAGCTTAGCTGGGCTCTGCTTAGCTTAGCCTAGCCTAGCTAAGATCAGCTTAGCTTAGCTTCGCTCAGTCTAGCTTAGCCTAGCCTAGCTTAGCTTAGCTTAGCTTAGCTTAGCGTAATTTCACTTAGCCCAGTTTAGCTTAGCTTAGCTTAGCGCAACATTAACATATCATAGCATCGCATAGCATAGCATAGCATAGCATATCGCAGCATATCGTAGCATACCATATCATACTAAAGCATCGCATATCATATCATAACATCACATCTCGCAACATCGCATAACATACATAGCATAGCTTAACTTAGCATAGCACAGCGCATCATATCATATCATATCATAACATAACATGTCATGACACTTCGTATCATATCATAGCATAGCGCAGCATATCATAACATAACATATCATAGCATAGCGCGGTATAGCATATCATAGCCTTGTCGGTGTATATGTAGATGTTGCTTTCCTAGATGCTCCAACTCCTAGGTAGGGTCGCACTGGGATAATTCCCCACATGCTTAGTGGGGTTCTGGTGTTCTTCCCTGCCACGTCGCACCCGTGTCTCACCTCACACCCCCCCTCCTCCTCACAGCACTGCTCAGCACAGCTCAGCTCAGCTCAGCGCAGCACGGCACAGCTTAGCACAGCTCAGCTCAGCTCAGCTCAGCACAGCACAGCACAGCGCAGCACAGCACAGCTCACCGCAGCACAGCACAGCACAGCACAGCACACAGCACAGCACAGCACAGCTCAGTTCAGCACAGCACAGCGCAGCTCAGCTCAGCTCAGCACGACGGTCGTCCAGGCACAGCAAGCGTGGCACATTCTCGACACCACAGGGGGTGCGCAGGGGGGGGGGTCTCTCACCGCGGCCGCTATGCACGACGGTCGTCCAGGCACAGCAGGCGTGGAACATTCTCGACACCACAGGGGCTGTGCAGGGGGTGGTCTCTCACCGCGGCCGCTATGCACGACGGTCGTCCAGGCACAGCAGGCGTGGCACTTTCTCGACACCACAGGGGCTGTGCAGGGGGTGGTCTCTCACCGCGTCCGCTATGCACGACGGTCGTCCAGGCACAGCAGGCGTGGCACTTTCTCGACACCACAGGGGGTGCGCAGGGTGGTCACCGCGGCCGTTCTCGGCCGCCCAGGCACGCACGGTCGTGGCACAGCAGGCGTGGCACTTTCTCGACACGCACACCGCGGCCGCACGGTCGTGGGGCATTTCTGGTTGGTCTCACCGACGTCGTCCGCTATGCACGACGGTCGTCCAGGCACAGCAGGCGTGGCACATTCTCACGACACACAGGGGGTGCGCAGGGGGTGGTCTCTCACCGCGGCCGCTATGCACGACGGTCGTCCAGGCACAGCAGGCGTGGCACATTCTCGACACCACAGGGGGTGCGCAGGGGGTGGTCTCTCACCGCGGCCGCTATGCACGACGGTCGTCCAGGCACAGCAGGCGTGGCACTTTCTCGACACCACAGGGGGTGCGCAGGGGGTGGTCTCCCACCGCGGCCGCTATGCACGACGGTCGTCCAGGCACAGCAGGCACACTTTCTCGACACCACAGGGGGTGCGCAGGGGTGGTCTCTCACCGCGGGCCGGCACGACGGCGCCCAGGCACAGCAGGCGTGGACACCACAGGGGGTGCGCGGCGGGCTACAGGGGCGCACACCACAGGGGTGCGCAGGTCTCTCACCGCGGCCGCTATGCACGACGGTCGTCCAGGCACAGCAGGCGTGGCACTTTCTCGACACCACAAGGGGGTGCGCAGGGGGTGGTCTCTCACCGCGGCCGCTATGCACGACGGTCGTCCAGGCACAGCAGGCGTGGCACATTCTCGACACCACAGGGGGTGCGCAGGGGTGGTCTCTCACCGCGGCCGCTATGCACGACGGTCGTCCAGGCACAGCAGGCGTGGCACTTTCTCGACACCACAGGGGGTGCGCAGGGGGTGGTCTCTCACCGCGGCCGCTATGCACGACGGTCGTCCAGGCACAGCAGGCGTGGCACATTCTCGACACCACAGGGGGTGCGCAGGGGGTGGTCTCTCACCGCGGCCGCTATGCACGACGGTCGTCCAGGCACAGCAGGCGTGGCACATTCTCGACACCACAGGGGGTGCGCAGGGGGTGGTCTTTCACCGCGGCCGCTATGCACGACGGTCGTCCACGCACAGCAGGCGTGGCACTTTCTCGACACCGCGGGGGGTGCGCAGGGGGTGGTCTCACACCGCGGCCGCGATGCACGACGGTCGTCCAGGCACAGCAGGCGTGGCACCTTCTCGACACCACAGGGGATGCGCAGGGGGTGGTCTCTCACCGCGGCCGCTATGCACGACGGTCGCCCAGGCACAGCAGGCGTGACACTTTCTCGACACCAAAGGGGGTGCGCAGGGGGTGGTCTCTCACCGCGGCCGCTATGCACGACGGTCGTCCAGGCACAGCAGGCGTGGCTGGCTGGTCTGATTACTTTGGCTGGTTATGGCTGGAACGACTGATCCGACTGGCCTGGTCAGTCTGGCTGGTCTGGCTGATCTGGCTGGTCTGGTCAGTTTGGCTCGTCAGGATGGCGAAGCGGGATGTGATATGGTTTGTGAACACACGTGACATAAAGTAAGTATGTGGGGTTCCTCGGTGGCGTAATTTACGATGTTGCAGTTTTTTCCGCTTCGTCGGATCTCAGAGACAAAGGCGGCCGAAGGGCACCAATTGCACACCTGCGTCGTACACGGGTCCTGACCAGGCCGATCTTGGGCCCTGTATGCGTGTATACGCCCTCCTGGCTTGGGCAGGAAGGCATGTACACCAATCCTGGGCCCAGGATGGGCGTTTTGCCAGGATCGGTGTAGGTGTATAGTTGGTGTTTTGCGGCGGCGGCGCGAAGGCGACGACAACGGCGACTACGGCGACGAGGGAATGAGTCGACGGGCCTTGCGGGTTTGATGTGGGATGGTCGGACGCGGGAGCCCCGTTGGCCAGGGTTTTCCTTTTCTGGCGATTGGGGCGGGGGCTCGGGCTGTGAGAAGATGAAGGAGGGGAGAGGGATGATGAGAATAGGTGAGGAGAATGGAATGAAAGAGAGAGGGAGAGAGAGAGAGAGAGAGAGAGTTCGGATATCAGATCGTGCTGAACGTGCTCGGTTTGGGGGCTCGGGCACGCGCCCGAGTCTGCTTGATCGCCAGCTATGAGCGCAGCTTGGGCTAGCGACCAGCCCCTAAGCCAAGAGGCGGTGGATGGAGAGCAGAGTATGAAGACGGGGCGGATGCGGCGACAGGGAAGAGACAGGGGAAAGAGAGAGACCCAACTCAATACTCACTCGCCCAACTGCTTTCTCAGCGCACATGTGCAAGACCACGGCTGGTTGATCTCGGACTCAGGCCTCCCGCATGCCAGTTCTGAAGGACGGCGCCGACGGCAGCGCCAGCGATGCTGCAGAAGACGGCCCTCGTTTCGCGCTCTGCGAGAGCATCGTGAACGGCCAAAGTTGAACACCCCCAAAGTTTAGAAGTTGCTGGACTTCCCACGCCTCGCAAGCATTGAACACGCGCAGTGTCCACCACGCCTCAAGAACCTGCAGATGCCTGGTAAGTCCGAAAAGGTCTGCAACTTCCTCTTGCCCGCTTATCCCGGAGATCATACATTTACCCAAACATGAGGTCTAGCAGATCTGAATGATCAGGAGGACAGCGAAACCCGTGACGAACAACCAGGCACCACTGGACTCGTATCGATGCTTCAGGTCACCATTACCACTCTGACGTCAGAGGCTCCCCCTCAGAATGATGTCCACGAGCTTCGACGCCTCCTCGTCCGGCGTGGCCAGGAGCTGCCCGTCCGCTTGCCCCGTCACGGCCTTGTCTGTCAGCGACGCCTTGACACGGTCGACCAACGCCTCCTTCGACGCAGTACCTTCCAGAAGCAGGTGCCTACTCCCCAGGGCCTCGGCGAGCCATCCCAGCTCCGACCGTGCTCGGCCTCGCTGAGCCGCCCGCACGCCCTCGGCGGCGGCGATAGCGGGAAGGCGCCAGCCTGCCTGCCCGGCGCCGCTGCTGGCGGCACCACCGTGCCCGTCAAGCGGTGCATTTGCGCCTCGAAGGCCGAGGACATGGCAGCGGCCATCGTCTCGTCCCGGCTGGTTCGCAAGGCCTGCTTCGGTCGCCCTTATAGGGGAACAAACAATGACACAAACAAAACAACTCGGAGGTCCGCGCGGTCCTCCGCGTTCTCGTATTCGTGTCCTTGTCTGTTTCCCTACTTCACGAGGTGTCGTACAGTCGGGGCGCTGAAGAAGGAACCCTTTTCGTTGTGGAGGGGCTCAGTGTTCCTTAGTTGTTTTGCTGCAGTTGGACTTAGGTTGAGAGTTCCCGACCAGCTACACCGGTAGGCCCTCCAGAGGAGCGCAAAGTATCGCATGTGGTTCGAGAAAAGTGCCGTGCCGAAGTACAAGTGTGAACAATGCGCCGCGCCAACGTACAAGTGTAAAATTTCAGAAAATCAGATGTATGGGGAAAGTATGCGAAATGTATGAGTATTTCAGGAGGAATGCATTCCGTTCGTATGTTTTTTACACTTTGGATGTGGGTTTGTATTTGTCACACTGTTTCCATACTTGTTTCACACTTCGGATCTGGGTTTGTATTTTTTCATGCGTGTTTCACATGTGTTTCACACTTCGGATCTAGGTTTGTATTGTTTCATATTTTCCCATGTTTGTTTTCACACTTCGGATCCCAGTTCGTACTATACTCATACTTTCAGTTTGTACTCGATTCACATTCGTACTTCCAGTTTGTACGCGTTTCACACTGAGTCGGTGCGGCCGTACATTTATTGTTCTTTCGGTTCGTACTTTTTCGCATTCTTACTTGCGTGACTTGTGAATGTCGCATTTTTTCCCAAACGGAATTATACTTTGCCGAACACAGGCGATCGACCACTCCAGCTGGCCTGGGAAGTCTTAAGCCTCAGGTTTTGCTTAGGCTTTCGATGGGAAGCCGAAGCTTAGCTTATGGAGAAAAAAGGGGGCCTCGTTCCTTATGTAGGGTTCCTGAGGTCAGCGCCCCGACTGTAGTCCAGGTTTAAGTCGGGCCTGTCCCCCTAAAGGGGGATTTTCGACGAAACATAAAGAATACTCCCAAAGTCCAAAATGAACAAAACATGCTCAAACAAGGACTATAGTTGGATTATGTTTGGGGTATTTTTTATTTTTCGTTGAAAATCCCCCTGTAGGGGGACAGGCCCGACTTAAGTCCAGATCGAGCCTCGTCGACCTCTGCTCGGCACGAGCAGCGCGCGCCGCTCGCCAGCTGCTGACCTCGGACACGCTGCTGGAGGCTCTCCGAGCGTGCCTGGCGGGCCGTCCAGCGGCGCCGTCCTGCCGCGAGCCATGGCCCCAACGGTTAGCTCCGCGAGGAGGGCCCCCCAATCCGAGGGCCCCCCAAGGGAGGAGCGGGAGGGAGGGAGGGAGGGAGGGAGGGAGGGGGGGGGAGGGAGGAGGGAGGGAGGGAGGGATGAGGGGAGGAGGAGGAGGGAGAGGAGAGAGGAGGAGGGGGGAGGAGGAGGAGGAGGAGGAGGGAGTAGGAGTAGGAGTAGGAGTAGTAGGAGGAGGAGGAGAAGAAGGGAGGAGCAGGAGGAGGAGAGGAGGGGTGGAGGGAGGGGGAGGGGGAGAGGGGGTGGGGGGGGGAAGGAGGGAGGGAGGAGAGGGAGGAGGGAGGAGAGGAGGGGAGGGAGGGGAGGGAGGGGGGAGGGAGGGAGGGAGGGGAGGGAGGGAGGGAGGAGGGACGAGGAGGACGAGGAGAGGATGGAAGGAGGACGGAGGAGGGGGGAGGAGGAGGAGTAGGTAGGAGGAGGAGGGAGGAGGAGGAGGAGGATAGAAGGAGGAGGAGGAGTTGAGGGGGAGGGGGAAGGGGAGGGGGGAGGGTGAGGGGGTGGCGAGAACGAAGCCAACGACGACGGCCACGGCGGCGGCGGCGGCGGCGGCGGTGGCGACGAGCAGCGCGCCGCTCTCCGTCTGCTGGCTCGGACGTTGATGGGGGCTCCTGGCGCCAATGGGGGAGCCGTCCAGCGGCGGTCCTGCCGCGAGCCGTGCCCCCACGGCCTGTTGCACGCGGATCAGGAGGGGAAAAACACAGAGACACAGCTAATCGTCGACTGCCAGGAAACAGATGAGAAACTATGGGAAGTGGGGGGGAGGACGAAAGCCCAGAAAGCAGGGGAACAAACCTGGGAAGTCTTGGGATTTGTGTGTATGTGTGTGTGTGTGTGTGTGTTCATTTGTGTGTTCTTTGGCCCCTTTAAGAGGAGGGCCCCCAATCGCAGGAGCGCCGAGAGCCACAGTCGTCACGATCCGGGTCGCGGCTTCGCCATTTTCGGCCTGTGGGGGCCCGTGCTGGGCTTCCAGACCCTCAACAACGACTCAGGACGAGAAAGCGGCCCCGCGGAGTGGGTCGAGACCTCCGGGGCTCGATGCTATGAGAAATCATGATGTCGGGGGCTAGGACAAGGAGGCTGCGGTCAGAAAGCTGAGCACAACGACTTCTCGCGAGCGCGCCGCAGCTCGCAGGTCGGCGTGCCTCTTCGCCTGCAGCCGCGGCGGCCGGAGCTCCAGCATCCGCGGAAGTTCGTCGTCTTGCTCGTCCATCGCGCCGTCGTGCTGGCCTACAGTCGAACCCGATGGTAAGGATGGGTAACCTTCCCACCCAGACCCCCTCGGATCATGAAAAAATCCGGTCGGGAGGTTTATCGCTAGTTTCGGCCTCTGGATGCCCTTACCGGCCCTCGGGAGCGTCAACAAAGCAACCCAGGATGGGAAACCCGTCCAGGGGGATGGGTCGAGACTTCGGGGGTCGACGCTATGAAAATATCATGATATCGAGGGTCTGGGCAAGGGCACCCTTACATCCGTGCCTCTTCGGTCCACCCTTGACTACTTTCGGTGGCCAGCCCCGCCCGAATAGCTTCGACATGGGCGTCAAAGGGAAGTGCATCCTTACCGCGCATCCCTGCTACAGTGGAGGCCAGTCCACAAGAAACCTTCCACAAGAAACCCAACCCTGAGACCCCAGGACGTCCATGGACATTTTGGCGTGGGAACGGCACGCTTTCCACAGCCGAGCCATCGAAACTCGAAACTCGAGAAACTCAGGGCACCCTGGAGGCAAGCAGGGTGGTCCGTGGCATGGGGTCTCCACTGAATCCGCTTTGACTGTGCCCAGCCCCCGCACCCGGCCCGAGGTGGAGACCGTCGCCATGATCGCCGCCGGCCACGCCGAAGACACCTTCGCGGCGCGCGCCCTGCCCATCCGGGCGTCGGCCGGCCCAGTGGCCCTCCCCGTCGGCGTCCTCGCCCGCCGGCCGCTGTTCTGCGGCTCCTCGAGCTCGCCGCCGTGCTCCTGCCCCCCCCCCTCCTCCTCTCGATCGAGAGCTTTTTGGGTTGCTCTCTCTCTCTCTCTCTCGTCTTGTTTCTTCTATTTTCTCCCTGGGTTCAGGTCCTGGGGGGGCAAGTGGGCCCACTGTGCGGACGCCCTGGGCCGTGGCTCTCATCGGAGAGCCTCGCCCCCTCGGCAGCTTCTCGTGTGCGGGCACTTCCGTGGACAGCCGCTCCGATCCGATCCTCCTCTCGACGCGGAAGAAGCGGGGTGACCATGACCAAGAGGTCGCGGGATCTTGTCGGTGCAGGACCTTCGTCCTGGTCGATGCCGGCCGCCGCCGATTCGCGAGGATGGCCCACGAATTGACGCTGACCGAGACGGACGACTACCAAGATCGAATCCGACGTTTCCGCTTTCAGTCTTGGCCATGGTCACCGTTTCTCTCCCCTTTTCAGCCGCCTCCTCCCTCCACCTCCTGTTCCCTGCGAAGCACCATTCTCCTGCCCTTTCTGCTCGTTAGTGTGCGCCCTCCCCTTCAGCATTGCAGAGACCTCGCGGCTGGTTCCGCCGACCCTGTGAAGCGAGCATCTCGGGCGCGCGGAAAGGGGACCGAGGACACGGCGCACTGGCGGCCTGTGTGTAAAATGTAAAATGGCAGGAAGCTGATGGTCCTCGACCCTTCCCGCCACTGCGCCCGGGTCGTGCTCCAGAAGCCTTTGGAACATCTTAGGGGATCTCGGGGAGGCTTCTAGTTCAGAGGAGGAAAAGGTACCCATACCTCTACCCTCCGCCCGTTTTCCCCTTTTTGGGCCTCCTGGGCATTCCTCGTCGCCACCGCTGGATTCGCCTCGAAATCCTGGTCAGAACGCACCCCGGGAGAGGTCCGGGGAGTAGCGGTATCGGTACCTTTTGGTTTCCCCTTTTCGTGGGGATGCTGGGGGCCTTTGTGGCCCACTCGGGTGCGTCTTGGGGGCTCTTCTGGGCTCTTGGGGGTCTTGCGATCGTGTCGGATTGGATGGCTTCCAGCGGCGCGACAGTGGCGTGCTCTTTGGGCCCTCTTGGTGCCATCTTTGGGGCCTCCTGGGACCCTCTTGGGGACCTCCTGCGCCATCCTGGGCTGGTCCTCGGGGTGTTTGGGGCCGTCTTGGACGCTCTAGCGACCGATGCGGCGAGAATGATCAGATGACCCACCTTGTTACGGTCAGGAACTTTTGGATAGCGTGTCGCTCCGCCGGTTCTGGCCTACCACGCTGTGGCGCGACACGGCATCCACGTCCCCATTCCCAAGCGTCAGTCGGAGGGCACCAACTATACACCAACACCGATCCTGGCCCAGGATCACCCTGGGCCCAAGATCGGTGTATATGCCTTCTTGCGCAAGGCAGGAGGGCGTATACACCGATCCTGGGCCCAGGGTGATCCTGGCCAGGATCGGTGTTGGTGTATAGTTGGTGCCCTCCCAGTCAGCGTCCCGAGCCTTTCCTGGCCTCCCGCCCCGCGGAGCGGAGCGACACGCTGTCCGCTCGCAGGGCATAGCGTGGCGCTGGGGCCGCCGTGGCGACACGCTAAGCACAAAAGTTCATGATCGTGAGGAGGCTCGCCGGTCTTTTGTCTCTCGGGCCACCCCTCGGGATCTCCGATGCGGCCCGCGAGTGCCACCGGATTCCACTGTTTCTGCCCTTCGTTCTCCGTCCTCCTTCCGGCTGCTGTAGAGCTCTTCCGCCCCCTCTTTGCTTCTCCGCGCGCCCCACCCACTCTCATGGCTCTCGGCACCTGCGAGTTCGTTGTAATATGTTTCTCTCTGTATCGAAAGCGGCGTCGTTCTGCTGTCGGACTGCGGTATGCTCGGGCGCCTGATTCGTGCGAGTATAACGCACTCAAGGCCATGCTATTTTATCGTATCTGGATTCTGGAGTGATCTAGCTGCTCCGAAGCAATCGTCACACCAGCTGACGTCGCTTTCTCTTCCCATCAATGTTCCCTTCGCGTGTTCGTTTCTGCCTCGTCCTGCGAAGGGCAATTGGGCGTTCCGGGTGGCGCCGCAGAAGTGCAGAGCTGCAGCGGTGCCCGAAGCAGACATCGAGGGCTGGCTGCAGGAGCGGATTCGGTGGCAGGGGGCATGAGATGCTGGCAGGAGGGGCTGGCTGCATGAGGTCCTAAATGGAGTGGAGTCCGTCCTGTATGGACCGCGCCCCGAAAACAAACGAATTGGGATAGGTTTTGCAGGGCGACCAGGGTGTGCCACGACTGCTGAACAATGACCTCTTTCGGTCCTGCGAGGCCATTGACCTGGAGGGCCAATGATTTCTTGTCTATGTACGAACCATGCCGTGGAGCCATTTATGGGAGAGTGGTCCGAGAGAGAAGCCGTGTCTGAAAGCTGGGACTGGTACCAGGCTGGTGATGCAGAGTGGATGCAACTCATAAAGGGATGTCCGTGAGAAGGAACGAGTTGGAGGAGGTGGACCAACCATAAGCAGCCTGAAGGAAGGGTGGCTGCACCCGAAGGAGGCCCTGTGGAGGCGGGTGAAGCAGGGGAGATGGAGGTTCGGGGGCCGGTCTGCGGCCGAAAAGCGGCTGTGGCAGAGGGCAGGTCGATCCCGCGGGGCCTCCCACCGCCCGACATCACCCTGAGGCTCTTCGGGCTGCGTTGGGCGTCTCTCTCTCCCTCTCTCTTTTTTTTCGGGGGGGGGTTCTCTCTCTCTCTCTCTTTCTTTCTCTCTCTCTCTCTCTCTCACGCACACACGCACTCTCTCTCTCTCTCTTTCTGTTTCATTGAGGCTATCCTCTGGGAGTGGCCGATTTTTCCGCCATTTGTTTTCGCATTGCTACGGTGGGGTGACAAACAAGAGGCGTCTTCGCATCCCCCCTTCTTCCGTCGAGAGGCTGTCTTCCGCAGCGGCATCCTGGTGAGAAGGCCCTGGAAAGGGCCCAGGGTCCACGAATACAATCAGGACGGGGGAAGGGACCCCTTTGACTTTGCAATCGGCCAGGGCGATTCCTTTGGCTGCTTCCTCGGGTGCTTCTCGTATTGAAGGCCAGGCGCAGCTAGGGTCCCCAATGGCCTCTCTGGGTATGCACGTTTCCTCTGTGACAAGACTTTGGTTGTACCAGAGCTGCGACCCATCATTTTGTAATGGTGTGTTTGGCTTCGGCAGGTAGCAGATGGCCCTGGCGATGCCGATCGCAAACGAGATTTCCGGTGGCAATGCTTGGCTTGGTGATTTCGGCCCATCTTTGGGGACCTGGCTTTGAGGGGCCGTCCCCTTATTGTTGGAGGCGCCGCCAGGGTTTTTGTTTCAATCTCACGTCTGAACAGTATGTATGGTTGATCCCCGCACTGGTGCTCATTGTGTTTTTCAATTGAAGTTCCACCTCCCTGACGCTTACACTATGGCTTTCACCAGGGAGTGTGCTCCTGCTCAGACTGCGTCGTTGTCCCCCTGGCTGCCTCCAACAACAGCACAAGCAGCAGCAACAACAATAACAACACCACCACCAATGACAACAACAGCACCACCAAGAATGACAACAACACCACCAACAACAACAAGAGCACTAACAACAATACCAGCAACAACAACACCAACAACAACAGCAACAACAACAACCACAACAGTGGCAACACCACCAACAACAACGCCAGCACCACCATCACCAACAACAGCAACAACAACTGCTCCCGCCTGATCCTTCCCTTCAGCTTTGTTAAGGAATCGCACTCTCGCCCAGGACTTCATCGCACACCATCATCGCGCTCTGGCCTCGGACTTCCTCGGTGTTGTCAGGGATCGCGCTCTCGGTGCTCAGGAGTCTTGCTCCTGCTGGGGACTTCCTCGCAGTGTTGGCAGGGAGCGTGCTCCCGCCACCGAAGAGTTGCAGTCTCGCCCAGGGTTAAGTCGGGCCTGTCCCTCTACAGCGGGAATATTCAACAAAGAATCAAAACATAGTCGGGGTACGTTTTTTGTTGACCATGTATCGGTTATCTTTGAGCATTCTTGGGGTATGTTTTATTTCTCGTCCAAATTCCGCCGGTAGGGTGGCACGCCCGACCTAAGCCAAAGGCCTGCTTCACAAATGACTCACGGGGCCGCTCTCTGGCCCTCCCCATGGGCTCCTCAGTCGAGGACCTCGCGCTTCCACGTCCCGCCCACCCAACCCGCCCGCTAGGGCTTCCGCGCGCCGAGTCCGCTCGTGAGGGTCCGCTGGCCCGACCCGTGTGTGACCCTGCAGTCGGCGTCACCCCAACATACTTCTACTGTATGTGCGTCGCCCCCCCCCCCCCCCAGGGGCGACGCGCCCAGGGGCGACGCGCGCGACGTGGCGGGCGCTTTCTGGTCACACCGCTCGCGAAACGATGTACTACAAGATGGGTATACCATATGGTCGGGTCGGACGCGCGCCTCCAACGAGGACATATAGTATTGGTATGTCTCTGTGCGTCCCATGCAGGGGTTTACCCAGTAGCCTGCATGACACATTGAGCCTCCTAACGTGGGTGCGCTCATGAGTGTAGGAGGGGTGGGGACCGATGGTTTGGGCCATGCATATGGTGTAGGAGGCGCGACCCCCGAGGAGCGATCCGTCTCCGCATGGCTGCTGCTGCTGCTGCTGCTGCGCCTGTCGAAGAAAGCTTGGCACTGGTCTAGGCCGTTGGTGACTCCCGACGGCAGGTTCGCGCCGCGCCGATGCGCGCCCGAGCCTGAAGGCTGTCGGGGTGCCGAGCCAGACCGACCTTGAGCGACCTCCGCCGCCGGGTCACGGAGCTCGCTCCAGGTCGAGCGGTCTGAGCGTTGTCAGAAGCCAGCGCCCATAACGGTACGACAGGAACCAGCCGTAGTTACCCCTTTCCTTACACAGGGCAGCCACAAGGCAGCCAATACCCTTATCCTCACACGGAGAGCATGTGTTTCCATGGGCTCCGGGTTTCGCTTACTAGACTCAATCATTTGATTTGGAACTTGGGCGTTTTCTTTGAGTTGTTTGGTTCGCAAAATTTTCGAATACCTGGGCCCGGATTATTGTGTAAGAGGGCGCTTTGAATGAAGTCCATTTCCTTAGCTTACAATTTTCGTAACTCGACGTAGGGCTGTACACCACCATGTGCAACCGTGCGTCCCATGGGAACAAACATACGCCGATCTGGCTACGCGCCAGACCTTTCCTGGAGTGCGGTTTGGCCAGGATTCTAAGTCTAGGGAGACTCAGGCCGAGGCGACGAGGCTCCCCCGGGAGGCGACGGAAAGGCGAGAGAACGAGGGAGGGCTCTGGCATCGGTGCGCTCTTCTCCGCCCAGCGCCTTGCTCTGAGACCTCCGACGCCGTGCTTTTGTTCGCAGTGTGGGTGCGGGAGGTCTGGACCTTCTCTTCCAGTGGGCCGGCTTCTCGTCCCGAGCATTAAGTCGGGCCTGTCCCCCTACAGGGGGATTTCGACGAAAAGTAAAACATACCCCCAAAATAATAAAAAATAGTCCAAACATAGTCTGGGGATTATTTTTTGATAATTGTTTGACCTTTTTGGTGTATTTTTGGGGTATTTTTTATCCTTCGTCGAAAATCCCCCTGTCGGGGGACACGCCCGACTTAACCCGAGCAGCTTTTCGACGGTCGACCAGAGGCCGGACACGGGCCCGAGTTTCCCGTCGCAAGTGCTTCGCTGCGGGAGGGGAGGTCTGGGCCTTCCCCACTCCGCTCTGCCAGGGTGTCTCGCTGGCGTGGAGGAGGAGGAGGAGGAGGAGGAGGAGGAGGAGGAGGAGGAAGGAGGAG